TGTTATTTTTGCATACAAAAAAAGAACTTGCTAAAAAGCTTGTCCCCTTGTCTGTTTTTATCAGATCAAAGCTCACCTCCTTCATACTAACAAAAGTCAATACTTCAAGAAAGTGAGTTTGAGCCTTTGTCCGGAGTCAATTGTTGAGTCACCACTTGTAATAGAACTTGCTAAAAAGTCTGTCGAGTCCACACTTATGAAAGATGTCGAGTATATCGAGTTACCTATTTCAGAATCTTTTGGTGAATGTTTTGTGTCTCCTATTTTAAGTCAATCAAACTTTGTTCTCAAGTCTTTCCCCTCTAAAATAGTTGACTTTATCCTACTATCAAAATTTCACTTGAGTTGGTACTTAATTATTTTCAGCACCATGGCGTTATTGATACTCTTTTGTCATCGATATATTGTTCTATTGAATATTTTTTGTTGAAACCTAATAAGAATTGCTTTGATATTCTTCAATTTAGATCTAATGCTTATTTGTTTAATTTTTCACTAAAGGTTAGTATTAGTCCAAATTTTTAATTGGAGGGCATGCCACTTAATCGTGGTACTCTAGTGCCTCCTATTTTATTAGCAGGTGTTTATACAGATAGAGATTCTTGCATTTATCCTAGTCGATGGAAAGAAGTTGTTGGTTCTTTTATTCTAGATGAGGCATTATGTCATCTTCATCTTGCTCTCTTAGGATACTTCTACTTTGAAGACTCTCCGGAGGAGACTTTTTCTCAACCAGGAGAGAATGATGAAGATCGTGTAAGAATTGGATAAATATATTAGATTAATTATGAGAGTTATTTTGATATTTTTAGTATTTATTTTTTAAGTATTTTCTTTTAACTTTTGAGGGTTTATTTGTCATTATTTGTTTTAGGATTTTAGTTTTCCTATATAAAGAGATGCATGTAATAGTTTTATTTAGATTTGACTTATTGAATATTATCGAAGCCTATTTGGCTAGATCTTCTTGTTCCCTTCTTATCTCTTTTCTTCTCATTCTTTTATTCCTCATCCCCTTAATTCTATTCATCACTTCTCATCTCCTTTTATTCTTCTATTTTCATCCCTATTATCTTCTCCTTAATCTACATTAACTATTAAAGCTAATTGGATCTACATCACCTAGAATACACAATGTAAGCCATTATATATTAGGGCAACAAACTAATGTAAAATGCCTAAACTATCCATTATATAAATACTCTAACATTCGCCCTCAAACTCATGATGTGGTAGCATCAAACATCAAAAGTTTGCTAAAATGAAAACGAAAGCACGCAATGGTATGAGATTTCGTAAAGAAATCTACCAATTGCATGGTAGAAGGAAGGAAAGCAAGAGATATCATGCCTAGATGAACATGGTGGCGAACAAAGTGACAATCAATCTCAATCTGTTTTGTGCGCACATGAAACACCAAGTCGTGGACAATCTAAATTGCACTAGTGTTATCACAATACATAGAATTAGGAGTAAACAAGGAAATATCAAGATCATCAAATAACCAACGCAACCAAACTATCTCTACTATTGTGGAGGCCATAGCACGATACTCAGCTTGAGCAGATGATCGAGTCCTAACAGTTTGTTTTTTACTTTTCTACTAAATAAGAGAATCACTAAGAAAATAACATAAATCAGTAGTGGACTTACGATGCATAATCACCATCCCAATCCGCATCATAGTAAGCACAAAGTTCTAGAGACGATGAGGAAGAAAATAATAAACTCTGATGCAATGTACCCCGCAAATACTGAAGAATCTGAAGAACAGCAGACCAGTGAAGTATGGTAGGAACAACAAACTAACCACGTGAACAGTGTAAGCTATATCTAGACAAGTAACAATAAGATATATCAAACTCTCAACAATAGTACGATATAAGGTAGGATCAAATAGGAAAGAACCATCAGAGGAAGTATAATAAACATTGAACTCTAAGGGTGTGTCAACCATCCGAGTATCCGGTAAGCAAGCTCGCTGAATAACATCTGAGACATATTTTGACTGAGATAGAAGATAATGCTTACGAGAAGAAGCAACCTCAATCCCTAAAAAATATTGAAGTTGACCCAAATCTTTCATCTCAAAATAATCATGTAATTGAGTCTTCAACAGCCGAATTCCAGCATTGTCATTACCCGTAATAATCATGTCATCCACATAAAGTAATAGAAGAATAAAACCAGAAGAACTAGATCGAAGGAAGAGAGTAGAATCTTTATCACTAGCATAGATAGAGCCTTGTGAAGTTTGCACACGACCAGGAATATGAGGCAACTCGGGAGGAGGAGAAGTCATATAGACCTCTTCAAATAAATCACAATGAAGAAAAGCGTTTTTCACATGTATTTGAGAGAAACTCCACTGACAAACTCCTACCACAACAATTACTATGCAAATCGCAGTCATCTTATCAACTGGAGCAAAAGTCTCATCATAGTGAAACTCATACTCTTGAGCAAATCCCTTGGTCACTAATCTAACCTTGTACTATTCCACAAAACCATTAGATTGGGTTTGATTTTGTAAACCCACTTATAACCAATTGTGCGTTTACCAGGAGATAAAGGCACCAACTCCCAAGCTCGAGTCTTATGTAAAATAGAAAGCTCCTCGTCTATAGTCTGTTGCCAAAGAGGATCAAGTATAGCCTCTTTATTGGAGGTTCGTTTAGAGAGTGTATGGAAGTCAAGAACGAACAAAAATCAGAAGAGTTGGACCAACTAAACCTATCAGGACACTTCCAAGTGTACTGAAGGTAGGGAGGAGTTTGATCCACTGTGGCAAAAATTGATTGGGAGACAGGAGATTCAGATGAAGGCATAACATCTGTGGAGGAGACAATAGGAGTCCTACGAACATAAGTATGCACAATTAGGGGGCGAGTAACAAACACATCAGGCAAAGAAGAAGAGGGAAAATCAAACACAGTCATATCACTAATATATGTATTTGGGGAAATATTAGATGGAAATGTATCAAGATAGATAAGATCAGATTTATGCAGAGACAAAGAACCAAATGGAATAGAGAAAAAAGAAAAATGCTCCATAAACAACATGGTGAGAAACGTAGAGTTTTTATATACTAGGATCATAACAACAATATCCCTTTTGTCCCTCGCCATATCCAAGAAAAACACGTAAGGCTAAACGATCAGAGAGATTGGTACGATTAGCACTAGGTAGCAAAACAAAACATGGACAACCAAACACACAGAAAGAGATATAATTAGGTGGCTTATGGTGAGACGCCAAAATTGAGGATTGTGGGAATGTAATTAACTAGGTGAAATGTTGTAACGACTGCTTCACTACAAAAAAGAGCTAAGAACACTAGCTGACAATAAAGGAGAACGAGCAGTCTCAATAATGTGGCAATGTTTCCGCTCGACTACTCCATGCTGCTAAGGTGTGTCACTACAAGAGAACTGATAAATAGTACCATCGGATTTCAACAAATTACGAAAAAAACTAAAAGAATATTCTCTACCTTGATCACATCGGAAGATTTTATGATAGAAGAATATTCGATACGCACCATAGCACGAAAAACAGTGAAAACAAAAAAGAATTCAAACTTACGTTTCTTCAAATAGACCTAACAATATCTGATATGATCATCAATAAAAGAGACAATATCTAGACCCCCCTTTAGTAGCAATAGGAGCTGGTCCCCAAATATTAGAATGCACTAAATCAACAGGTGCAAAAGAACTAGAAGTACATTTATTGAAAGGTAATGCAATAAATTTAGTCAACTTACATCCACTACAATCTGAACTACATGACACTCTAAACTACCAATAAAAGCTAAATATTTCAAACAAGAATGAGAAACATGACCCAAACGAGAATGCCATAAATAAAAACTAGATAATTGTGGATTCAATTGAATAGAAGATAAATCAATAGTAGATACAACAAGTTCAAGAACATGAAGCTCATCCAATACATACAGCCCTCTATTTCTATGACATGTCTCAATCAGCTTCTTGGACCATGAATCCTACACAACACAACCAATAGGGGAAAAGTGAACTAAAAATCCCGAATCAAACAACTGACTAATTGAGATTAAATTTAAAGTAAGCTAAGGAATATAGTAAACATCATAAAGTGTAAGCTGAAAGGACACAACTATCCCAAAACCAGCCAAAGGCATTTGGGTGTCACTGGTTGTAAAGACAGATATAGAGGGAAGAGAAACAATAGAAGCAAATAAGGAAGAATTACTAGTCATCTGAAGGGTGGCTCCCCAGTCAAAAGATCCAAGCAACTAGAGATATACTCGAAGGACCTGAAGTGAATGAACCTACTGAGAGAGAAACTGATAGAGCACCTGATTGATGAAGGGATAGAAGCTTCTGCACTATTGATGCAGCTTTTGTTGTATGATGATCTTTGGGCTTAAATAACTGATTTTATGCCCCCTTAGCATTCTTGTTCATCCATTTTTATCCTTGCATATGATTTAATGGAAAGCATGGTGCTCAATAAAACACGAGGATGAAACATGATTCATGTAGTCGACCTCAAAAATATTGGAAGTTTGGAACAAGACTTCGCTAAGTTGAGTTGTGTGAATTTTCCAATCTGTTTGTCAGTCCCTTTCGTTGCGGTTTGTTAACCCACGTGTAGTTCCAATCAGACGTGAGCTAGAACATTAAGAGGGATTGCAACTCATATTGAAAGATTTGCTACACTCCAATGTTGGTTTATAAGCCCGTCTGCCCATTTCGAATACTTAGCGACATAATTCCTCCGATCTTATCACTACATTGAGAAACATATAAAAAAATATGTGCATGTAAACAAAAGATAAAAAGAAAAGAAAGAAAAAGATATATTCCATACCTATTGAAGAAAGATGATGAAAAAGAGACGTTTATAATAAGCAAAGTTGCAAAAGAAAGTCCCAAACCGTTCGCAGCTCAAAGAATTTGAATGAATTATATAGGCAACAAGCTAACAAAAAAAAGTATCATTTTCAATACTTAATAAAAGATACATACCTGGAGAGCTAAAATCCGATCTTCAACTGTGTTCTTAATAGTGAGCCGTGATACAGTAACAGGACGAGTCTGTCCGATTCTATGAGCTCGGTCAACAGCCTGATCTTCAGTAGTTGGATTCCACCAAAGATCCAAAAGGATTACTTGACAGGCAGCCACCATGTTTAGACCGAGATTTCCAGCTTTTAGTGACATCAGCATAACAGTCACCTGGGACAAACTACAGGAATTTACAAATGGCATTGTAGTCCAGTTTATGGAATAAGAAACAAAAGGTAAGCAAAACAGAGAACTATAGCTCCATATCAACCTGTGCAAATGTGATACTACAGTCCCAAATCAAAAGACAAACATATCACAGAAACCTTAAAGATAGGCACTAGATACCATTCCCCAAAATGATGCAGAAATTTATGGCACACATCACATTGCTAATGAATTACAGGGCATGATATTTATCATTCACATTTCAGCAAGTGCATTGTTATTACAAAGGAGCACGTACAATTTGCAACAGCATGCATCTTAGATAGGATACATCATGTGCAGTGCAGTTTGATAAATCTAAAAAAAAGTCAACTAGCACAACCAAATCACCTATTTTTCAACCATAGTCAATAAAATCTAATGATTAACTCATGGAATCTCGAAGATTGATTTAATTAAGTTAATATTCAGATCCCATGTTGTGCAAATAATTCATGAAACCATGCAAACAGATCAATCATTTCACTATAAACTTGTTTATAGAATCAAACAAAGTCAGTAAATATGAAATATGAAACCGGATTTCCTTTTCACGCCATATGTGCTTACACTTCACTTATTCTCAGGAACAGCTAGCTGAGGTAGATGTGTCTAGGTATGACAAAAGGCGATGGATATTCTCCCCTTCCTTTCTAGTAGCATTAATATCTCAGTCGTAGGTGATCAAGTAATACTTCAAGAAAAAATATGCACTGTAGTAGAATGATGGGCTCGAGATTCTCCTCTTCCACCTCACTATCGGCCTCTGCCCTAAATTAAGGACAACCATGAAGCCTCCAAAAAGTCCTTTTCTATGTCTTGGCTTATTGCAGTAATCGCAATACAGATTGCCCTTAGCCCTCATCATCAGATGCAGCATCATTAATGCAACCTTTGTCAACTGTCCTACTTCCTCACCGACTATCTTGAGGGTAGCTGCAAGCAAAGCAGAACCCTTATAATAGCATCGAGTAAAGCATGATCCCCAGCCTATTTACATCAGTCTGAACACACGAATATACCTCCAATAGAGAATGCAGAGGTCCAATTCCCAAGATTTTAATCTTAGCTTGGTCAAACTTAGGATTTAGTCTAGCAAGGAATCCAATATTACTTTCCTACTTAAGTACACTATATAATTTGGACACTTCTGCAGCACATTCAATATCAAGCTCTGATAGTGGTCCAACTCCTTCCACAGTCCAACTCCTTCCATAACCCACATAAAGTAGGAAAGTAGGTCACCAAAAGAGGAATCTTTTGCTTCATATTATGAGTTAGACACTTCAGCTCATAAACCCTTCTGATGTTTCCCATTCTCGAGTTAAGTATCTAACACTACCTCCCAACTCTCTTTGACTGTGTGTAAAAACAGGTAGCCATTACTGATCTTGTAGCACAGGGTGAAGTAGTAATGATATGGCAATGGAATGCTCCGCCTCTCACTTACCGTAAAGAAAAAAGCACAATTTAGCTGATTGAGACTAGCTAAGGAAATTGAGAACATCAAGTTTTACTGTTGTAATCAGGAAGGTAGGGTTTTCAAATTGTCTCAGACTCCACTTATCAACCCTAAGAACACCAACTGGCTTGAATAGACCAAAAGAAAGTTTGAAACAGCAAAAAATTCAAAAAATTAATATATGGATAAAAAATACGGTACAACAATCAAAGTAAGTGGTATATTCTGACCAAACCATGTAGTCCAGCAAAAAAGCACTGCTGATCACTTCAAGGCCTTAAAACTCCACAAACCCTCGATCCAAACCATAGGATAACGCTTGGGCAATGCAAACTGGCACTTTAGTTCCATGGGAAGCAAGACATGGCATCCAAAGAATTTAGGGCTGTTTTTTGGAAAATAACCCCCATCATCCCCCAAAACAAAGAAAAATAGATTAGTTATACGATTTCAGATCAACATAAATCACAAGTGTACTTTCCACTTCCATCTGTTTTTTTCTTTTTTTTTTTTTAAATTTTTTTCCAGTACCATTTCCTTCGAGTTCTTTGCACAGTACTAAGAATCACCCAATTGGCCTTGATACCATGTTGACATAGTAAATTTCAATAATCAAAGAAAGAGAAGCACCGAGAAAGAGAGGAAAGCAAAGAAGGAAGGCAAAGACTGCCAGAGAAAGAGAGTCAATTAGGGTTCTGGATGCCCTGTCACACATACCAATATAAATAGTGGCAAAAACCCAAAGTACCAAAATCACCTTTAGCCTGGTAATAATTAAAACAGTTTTTTGTTTTTTATCAGGAATACATACCACCACCCACCTGAGGTGACAAGTTATATGACAGTGGTATAATTTTACTCTTTGGTAATCCATTTTAGGGGTATCAAACGTGTTGGGTTAAACGGTTACATGTCGTATTAAACAGGTGACGGGTGAAAAACATATAAACCCATACACGACTCGTTTAATAAATGGGTGAAAAAACTCAACACGAACACGAACCGTTTAATAAACGGGTAACAGGACACAACTCGTTTAACCCGTTTAATTTTCATAAAATTATTCTATTAAAATTTTAACCCACACTAAAAAATTATTCCATTAAAATTTTAAACTCCATTAATTATCCACAACAATTATACTCTCTTAATTAAAAGATTTCCACTTGGTTGGCGCTTGCAAAGGCAAGTGAGAAAGTTGAATTACTAAAGAAAGGGGCAGCAGCTTTTTATAGGCATGGGGAGGTCTCCTTCTTTGAATTTGTCGATGTGGGATTCAAGTGAAAATGTTTCACTATGCGTTCACTGTGAAGACCCACAAGAAGACCTTGTAACCTATCCCACATCGAGCACTGCAATGCAATGGGGTAAAGGAATAATTTGTACTTAATGGCCATTGGACTACCAATCTCTCATCCACTCAGCAACTTGGTTTCTTTTTTGCATATGTATATAATATTTTAATTCTTATTATTTTTTTTAAATAAAATAATTATTAATTTATTATTATTTTAATTTTTTTTAAACGAGTGATAAACGGGTTGATAGGTCTCACCCGAACACGACCCCTTTATTAAACGTGTTTAACGGGTCAACCCGTTTATCACTCGAACCCGTTAAGGTCTCACCCTAACCCTTTTAATTCGTGTCGATTCATGTCGGTTAATCGTGTTGTGTCTAATTTTGACAGGCCTAATCCATTTCCATTTGTTCTAACAAGTCTGCAAGGCATGTCAGATTTAAGTTCAAGGTAACTCTGACCACTCCTGTAGTTTGACCATAGTACATAAGTTTTAAGGTTTCTGCACTGACAATCACTTTCTATTTAGGTTTAAGAAACTTGTTGATTACAGCAAATTATAAAGAAACAATGTTAGTGTAATAAATATAGGTTTTTTTTTGGTGATGAGAATAGTTGATTTCTACCTTATTAAAGATTCCAGAAACATTAAAAAACATTATACAATAAATGAGAAAAATTAAGAGTTGGCAACTATGTTCCTCAACAATGTACGAGTTTGTTTTCTGGAGTACAAAGGCATCCCACATCTCAGTTAAGAATAAAGTGCAGAACCCCATTTTAAGAAATCACTAACATCAAGGAAATTTAAACAACATTTTCAGACTAGAGGAAGATAGGAGTAAAACCTCAGGATCAGTGTTGAATTCTTTCACAGCCCTGTCTCTTGCAGCAAGACTCATTGTTCCATCAAGCCTCCTATATTGCATACAAGACCGGTTCAATGAAATTTCAACCAAGTCCAACATGCCAGTCCACTGGGAGAAAACTATAGCTTTTATTGGTCCTTTAATTTGTGGTTCTGGGCACACCTTTCCCAAAGACAAAGAATTTCCATTACATGGATCCAAATTTTGTGGTTCTGGACTAGGACCCTTCGATTTACAGTGTGACAGAAGAATCTCAATAGCAGCTCTGATTTTAGAAGAATTATACTCATTCTGCAGAATTACAGATTTCTCAGAAAATGCAGAAGAAGACAAGGGATTATTATCATGACCGTCAGAAATACAACTCCGTAAGGTAGCTTTGGAAAGTACAACATCAGGAATAAGTTGTTCTCTGCAGTCAGGTGCAGGACACATATTGTCATCTCCTGTTAAATGATCTGATACACACTGATAGCAAAAAACATGCCCACACAAAGTAACAACTTCGTCTTCTGGTGGGTCCTGTAGAAGCATTATATATTTGAAAAATTAGAGAAGATTGTCATATATACTTTGGTTAATCAGATACTATCACTTTACAAAGAAAATCATATAAAGAGACAAAAAACACACCAGAGTAAACCCAAATCCCAATCACTCAATTCAATAAAAATTTGTCTAACTGCTTGAGACAGGAGATATGAATCCTATTTTAGCATGTTGCTCTAATCAAGGCCACCTACTTTGTTGAGTCAAAAGCCACAACATCTTAATCCATATTGATTTTGGTCAACCACAGTTAGCAGGTGACCTCTTCACTTTTGTTCATTGATTTCCCATGCAATCTCACAAATACGTTAGTTTCTAATTGTTAGCTTTAGAGAATAGAGAAAAACAATATAAGAGAGAGGCAGAGAGTAGTCTGAAAACTTACCTTACCTCTCACTATCAATTGGTATTTATAGTTATCCAATAAAACACAAAAGACTAGCATATCCTTAGTGAGGTATATTTATTACAACTACATAAAATATAATAATAATACTCTCAACCCTCTCTCTCAAGCTAGAGTATATAAACTATATAATCCAATCTTGAAACAAATCCCTTAAGACCAGTGCGGTTCAATACTTTGGTGAACAAATCTACAAACTGATCATCAGATTTCATAGATGGTGTTGCAATATCTTCGTCCAATATTTTGTCTCGAATAAAGTGACAATCAATTACAATATGTTTGATTCTCTCGTAGAATACGGGATTAATGGTTCAAAGTCTGGTATTGGCTATCAACTCGGAGGGCACTTATACACATCGGTCACAACATCATAGCACGATATCGGCCAATAGGCTCAAAATGCTAGATAAAAGCTCCCAAAAAATTTTAAAAAATCATGAAAAAGTAATAGCATATGCATCATATGGTCAAAAATACATTATAATGGCATTACCAGAAATATGTGTAATCATTAGTCTTAAATATAAGAACATACCTAATCAAAATTAATTTATATCCTATTTTATATCAATAATAAAGCTTAATAAAATATAGTAACTTAATATGTTTAAGTCATAAGTAGACTTACACTACCGATAAAAGAAATAAAGTTCATTATTAAAATATGTTTAGGTCCTTCAGGACTAAAAAAGACTATACCAAAATATATAACAAAACTAATTAAAAAAAAATAGTGCTAGACATTTATTAAGTTATTAATAAAAACTTACTGAAAATATTACAAATTAGAAAAACAAAAACAAAAAGAGTAAAGGGTCGTGCGCTGAGAGGGTAGAACTCACACAACTTCGTCCATGAGAGAGAGAGAGAGAGAGAACAAGAACAAGAACAAGAAAAGAGGAGAGAGAAGACTCAAAGATCAGTCTGGGGAAAAAACGACAACACAAAGGGCGAATGCTTGGCCTTCTATGAGTCACAACAATTTTGCAAAGAAGAAGAAGAAGAAGAACAGGGCTCTGCCAACGATTCTTCTGGATGTTACTGGTTTTTTCTTACAAATTGGTTTAATTTATTCTTTTGATTTAGGATTTAATTTACTTCTTCCCTTTTGCCTTTTTTTTTTATTTTTGGCATTTTTTTCTGTTGTCTGAGATTTGTCGATTGGTTTTGAGGACATCGATTCAACTCAAATACGACTTGTCCGCTTCAAGCTAAGTTGCATTTGATTTGTACTGATATTGTCAAGCTATGGTGGAGTTAGAACCAATTCTTGTGAAACTCGGGATATTTGCGTAGCGTATGTTTAAACCATGACCGGATTAACAGCAATATGAATAGTTATCTAATTGTCACAAAATAGCTATAGGGGAAATTGAACTGAAAATCCAATCTCCTGAAGAAAGTGTCATAATCATGTCAACTCACTATTGGTATGTTTCATCACCCTATAATTAGCCTCGACACCGGACCATGCTCCCACTATTTGTTTCTTACTTTTCCATGTAACCATTTTACCTCCCAAGTAGGTACAATATCATGTGGTTGATCTTCGATGTGAGAGTGCGTTTAAGTTATCAAAGAATGTGGATGTGTGCATCCCAATGTGGTATTTTTGGGCATCCCATAAACTAACTCACAACACTAACAACATATGCAATATTTAGTTAGATAATAACGAGATAATTTAACTTCCTAACCAACCTACGATACCCACCTAAGTTTCAAACAAAGTATCATCATCCATCAACAGCTTCTGATTTGAATTCATAGAAACATCAATTGGTCTACCACCTAGTGAACCTACCTCTACTAGCATGTCCAGTACATGCTTTCATTGAGATAAACAAATGCCCTACTTAGACTTGGCAACTTCAATACCCAAGAAGTACCTAAGTTTACTTAGATCTTTAGTATGGAATCGGTTCTGGAGAAAGATTTTTAACTTTGCAATACCCCTAGATTCATAACCAGTAATTGCAATATCACCCACATAAACAACCAGTATAATGTATCCAGAGTTAGTGTATCTATGTAAAACATAGTGGTTTGTTTGATATCTTAGAAGATCATACTCCAAAACTATCTCTGAAAACTTATCAAACCACACCCTTGATGACTGCTTTAAACCATACAAAAATTTCTTTAACCGAAAAATACGCTTTTGATACTCCCCTTGAGCAGCAAACTTAAGTGGTTGCTCCATATAGGCTTCCTCAGCCAAGTCCTCGTGCAAGAAAGCATTTTTTGCATCAAACTGAAACAAAAACCCATGAAGATTAATAGCCAAAGAAATTTTGGCAACTGAAGAAAAGGTTTCCTTATAATCAATGTCAGGTTGAGTAAGTCCTTTAGCAACAAGTCTTACTTTGAGGCATTCACCACAACCATCAGGATTAAATTTGACTGTATAGACCCACCAACGGCCAAGGGAACAAGATCTCAAATTCCATTATGGTGTAAGGCATCCATTTTCACTTCTATAGCTTTCCTCCAATCTGAATCAAATAACACACCATGTAATGTCTTAGGAATAGAGACAGTAGACAACTGAAAGATAAAACAAGAAAAGGTAACGGACAACACATCATAAAAAATAAAATTAGTAATAAGATAATGAGTAACACAGGATCGAGTACCTTTACGAAAAGCAATAGGTAAAGAGGCATAAGTAACTGGAAGACTAGGATCAAAAGAAGGCAAGGAAGATGGTAGAGGCACCTCAATCGATGATCATAAACGACAACAGTATACACAGAATGGGACAAGAGTAGGTTGGGTGGTGAAGAGGGTGGTAGTATAGTGGTTAAGGGAATGACAAACGATAAGGGAAGAAAGGGGTGGAGGGGACTGCACAAAGTCAAGGTCCAGAGGAGGATTATGAGTTAGGAAATAGGGATCCAATTCAATGAAAGTGACAACAACACAATTGACTGTTTAAAAAAAAAAAAAAGACAACACCACTAGTGAAGTATCTACAAAGGATAAGACTATAGCACCGATAACCCTTCATGTGCGCGAATAACCTGATGCACTAGGGGTGAGTTTGTCAAATCTTGACTCAAGTTGCAAATAAACACAACCAAATGCCTTAAGAGGTGAGGAAAACAAAGGAGAATTGAGAAAAATGACAGAATATGGACTTCGCCCCTGTAAGTCAAAAGAAGGCATACAATTAATGAGATGACAAACAATAAGACCAGTATCACTCCAAAAACATCGAGAAACATGCATCTAGAAATAAAAGTATGTGAGTCACTTCTAAAAGATGACGAATTTTATGCTCAGCCACACAATTTTGTTGTGGGAAGTCGACACGTGACGTATGATGGACAATGCAGATAGGTAAAAAAGGGATCAGATTCATATTCACAAGTATTATCAAAATGTAAAATACAAATACGATAACCATATTGGGTTTTGATTTTCTTACAAAATAACTCAAATATGGAAAACAATTCAGACCAAGCTTTCAAAAGAAATAACCAAATTACACGAGAATAATCATCCACAAATGATACAAAATAAGAATATTTATTAAGTGAAATATTATTTATTGGACCTCATACATCAGAATGTACTGCCTCAAATGGACAAAACACACGATTATTGACGTAGACTGAAATAACACACAGTAATGTTTACTAATTTGACAAGCTTCACAAGACACAAACGATACATAACTAAAACTAGGAATTTGGCGCTTCAAGTTCTGGAGAGAGGAATGAACAAGATGACAATGCCATTGAAACGAAGATGATGAGATCTGAAGTGCTCGAGAAATATCAAGGTCACAGTAGTAGAGACCATCGGTTTCATGCCCGTATCAATCTTCTTCGTCTAGAGATCTGGAAACACACAAGAAGGATAAAAGGTTATTGAGCAGTTAAGCGAACGAGTAATTTTGTTGAGAGAAAGTAAATTGAATGGGAAATGAGAAACAAAGAAAATAAAAGATAAAAGAAAATCAGGACTTAATTGAACAGTTCCCAATTCGGAAATCTTAGAGAATGTGCCATTAGAAAGAGTAACACTATGAGAGGTGATAATAGAATGATAAGTAGAAAAGACACTAGACGAATTAGTCATGTGATCAGAAACACCAGAGTTTATGATCCAGGGCTGTGGGTGAAAAAAAGTAAACAAGTGAAAGCGGTACCCGGCAAAAGTAACAATGAAAAAGAGTGTACTGCTTGTTGCTGGGTCATGAACTAAGGATACGCCTCCCGTGTAATAGTCAATAACTCAAAGTCAGAAGGGGTTGAACATGTTGATGGTGCAAGTAAGGAATGAGCATCTTCCTGAATGGCAGCGCTAGAGGGCTTGTCATGCAAATCCCAATAACAAGCAACAGTGTGAATAGTACAACCACAATGAGTACATAAACAAATGCTTGGATGGCCCCCACAACCTCCACACGACCACCGAGATCACCACGGCCACCATGGGTACTACCCAAGGTTACCTAGATTGCGGGTCAATTGGATACGTGGTACGGGTACAGATGCAGGGTACATTACTTTCCTCGGTGCGCGATGCAATAAAAAAAGACTTAGTTGGTATGCTATTTTTGGTCGCA